AGGCCTCGGGCTCCATCCCACCAGAACCGGCGGCTGCAGAGAGCCGCCCGCTCCCCCTGCACGGCGCTGCTCTGAAGGGCGCCGGCCACTGCCAGCACCGGGGACGCTGCCTGAAAGGCCGCGGTGGCCCGCAAGGCTCCCCTGGCCTAAGGGAGCCGGGTGCGAGGGAAGCCCGGCCATGGCGGCCCCGTTCCCGCGCGGATGGAGGGGGGAGAAGCCCCGAGGGGCACCTCCTGCCTCTCGGCGATGCTGCGCGGGGGGTGCCGGACACCCACCTTCTGCTCCTCGGCCGAGGCGGGCTCGGGGCTCTCGGCAGACATGGCGCCGCGGCAGCAGGACGGGCGGGAGAGAGAGGCGCGACCGCCGCTCCTCCGCGCAGCGCAGCGCTACCACCGCCCCCCGCACAAGATGGCGGCCGCCCGCAGGACGGAGCGCCGCCGGGACCACACTTTCTCCGCGCGCGCTCGGGAGCCGCTTCCGTCTCCGCCCCCTGACGTCACGTCCGGTGCCGGGTGCAGGGGGATGCTCATGGCCCCACACCGGGTATAGGCAAGACAAGGCCTTGCTGGTTGGTTAACGAGCTCGCGGGCCCTCGGCGGCTTGACCTGAGGAGCTTGAACTGCCGGACACCAGCTGACAGGACAGGAGGTCTCAGATCGTCGAAACTTGTTAACAGCACGGTTTCAAGTATATAAAGTATTTTATTCGCTCTCCATCTGCTTCTCACGGGCTGATTCCTGGCAGAACAATAACCTCCCTGGGACTCTCAGAGCATAGAGGAGGGTTTTAATTAGCTCACTGTCAATAAATGCTTAGGGATCCCGAAATACGGGAATTGAACCACAAGGTGTAGATTTTACTCAATACTCAGTTAAGTGAATGCACACTTAATGTTACTTACATAGAACGTCATTTCCTGGCACTTTTGCTGCTGCCCTGTGATTCTGACCTCCAGCCCTCCCACCGCAGCTCTCCCTGGGAGCCAGCACACGCTCTCGATCCCCACTGCAGACCCTGCCCACACCTATTCTGAACCGGCTCCAGCACAGCCAGGAGGAATGGGCATAGGCAGGCTTTGTGCGGTTGAAATCAAGAGGATAGATTGGGTCTGATCAAAGAAGTCTACAGCTTCTATTTTAAGTCAGTGATTTTGCTATAACTGAATTTTACTAACAGCCCCTTCAAACCAGTAGCTGGAAGAGTCATTTTAAGCAACAGATTTGTCCAGAGATGAGGATTGTGTAGTAGCACAGAACTCAAGGAATACGCATATCCCTTGTTCAGAAAGGGATACAGCAGGGCAGATTGCACAGGAAAATCATAGAACACACTACTATTGTGTTTCCTAATGATGAAAGAAGCAATGATAGCAGTGGGTGTGCCCCATTTCCTTCTAGCAAAACCAGGCAGAAATGGTCTGGAGGTGCAAGGAACAGAGCAGCAGGTAGAAGGAATGATCATGAAAAGGATGAAGACCATAGGTTTTGAAAGGGAACAGAACAAAGCAGTGATAGCAGACAACGATGCAGACTTCAGGAATTTCTTTTAAACCTCTTAGGACATTAATGTGAGGGAAAACAGTTTTGAGGACTCAGTAGTTCCTTAACAAATTTTCTTCTTGAAGGGAACAAATGTAAACTATACTGTGCACAGGAAGGATGGGAATTGAGAACCTCGGGAAAAGCACAAGTTCTTCAATAGCCTCAAATACAAGAAAGCAGCATACAGAAACTAGGTCAATGTTTTAGAGATGTGCATCTAAAGCAGATCATGAAGACAAAGGGGCACAGAATCTAATGAAAATTACTGAACAAACCTTGTAGAAGCCAAAGGGCTTCATGCTTTTTTTGTTCAATCTGGCATAATTGAGCTAGCTAGTGTAATGTAACAGAGTATAACCTCAAGCTGGAATAAGGAAAGATCAGTTTAAGGGATACTCAAATCAGTTACTGGTTTTCTTATCTGGTGAATGTATTCAACTTGGATGAAAAATTAACCTTCAGGGTTTAGAGAACGGACTGAAGCAATCTCCAGTTAACTAGTGGTCATCTATATAGGAATGTGTGGAAAATTAGTGTGTTTCTAGGAGACTGATAGCTTGGCCATATTTCTGGATTTAAATAGGAGTAAGGGAAGGACAGAATACAAGCTATATAATTAAGCTGTCTAATCAATAATTACCAGAGAAATCATCTAAAATAAGCACTCAGAAAAGAAACTGAGGAGCTAGATGTGAATTCACAATTAAGAACACGGGTTTCACGCAATCCTATTTCCCTTAATGAAAGCAAACAGACCATGTGGAGAAGCGGGTGAAGGTGGCTGAAGTTCCAGGTGCCTTCTGGCATTAATAAGGCTTCTGACACTTCTGCATTTCTGAAATTATGGAAACTAAACTAGATGAAACTTTAATACAGTGGCTGTAGGTTCTGTTGGAAATGGCTATCAATTGTTCAGACAGCATTGCTGTGTTTAGTAGGGTTTCACAAAGGGGCTTCCCCAGGGCCAATACTGCTCATCAGTTTCAACAGGAGCAAATTACATTCAGTAAGAGAAGCTACAAGAACACTAGAAAATAATAGCAATTCAGATTCAAACAGAAGATCAGGTCTTGGGTAGTGAGAGAATGAAGTTCAATAGCGTCACATCAGGAAAGCTGCTGTATTGGGAACAAGCAGGTAGGATACTTCTGTTATACTGGATTGCAAGATTAATGTAAGTTGACATCTTTGATACTAAAAAAACAAATATAATAGGATGTATGAAGCGGACTTTAAGCCATAAGACTTATCAACCAGTCCTTCCAGTCTAATTGGCAGAGAGGCCCTGCTTGGGATGGTGTGTCTACTTGAGGCATTTCAAGACAGATTCAGGCCAGGAGAAAGCGAAGAGCTAGAATGGTGAGATATGCAGAATGTAAAAGGCAGTGCTGACTGAAGAGCCTGGGGTTGTCTTAGAAGAACACAGACTGAGAAGGGAGATATAAGAACTAAGTTGTTTTCTTTGTATATAGCGAAAAGGCTAAGCAGCGTTTGACTTTAACTGCAGCAAGGCTTAGTTGGACATTATAAATAGCTTACTTGTGTAGTTTAACACTGGAAGAGATTGAGTGTCCATCTATGGAGGCCCTCATAAACCACTCAAATGTTTATCAAGAATAATTCTATGTGGTTTTGCCTATTGTGGAGTAAAGGGAAGCAGCAAATGCCCTCTCAGAAATCAGCCTGTAGTCTAATTTCTTAACTTATCCATAGAAGGTCATGTGGAAATCAACACATTTTATTCATTCAGCATTTCTCCAGGTGTGTCCCTAATAGGAAGTGTTAACTCAGATCAAGCTATAAATGGAGAATGGCTTTGTTAAATCAAAGTTGTGAATGGATAATCTAAGGTCACTTTCATTCTGAATCCATACAGGAACTAAATGTACTTTAAGTCAATACAAATTTATTTCCTAGGCATGATTTGCAGTGACCACATAGTCAAAATCCACACTTCTTCACTGCTCAAAATGAATTAACATATTACTTTTAATGGAGAAAAGGCTTGAAGAAGTCCTTTAAAGTTATCAAGAGGACACAAACATACATTGTGCATTATCAGTGCAAAATATAAAAAGTTAACAGGTGAACTGCGACTTTTCATTAAAAGCATGTCCTTTTCTCATCCTTTTTTTTTTTGTCAAGTATGCAAGCAGATGTGCGCAATGACACAAAAAGTACTTTGAGGATACATGCTGTTTGCTTATGACTCAATAGTAACTACAAAGAAACTAGGACACATTCTCATTGCACTAGTCTAGTTCTGTATAAAGTATAACTGAAGTTGTGTTTAACTCTTCTGCTACCAAAAGAAGCCTTCTCCCAGTTTCACAGGTAGCACAAATGACTAGAAAAGGCAAACAATCTCTTCACGTACAGTTTTCCCAAGTCTTTATGAAATAAATGCTAACTAACCTTTGAAAACCCAGTGTATCACAGGGGAAAATACTGCTGGGGAACGGATGCAGTAATGCCCTTTTAGAGCAACAGGGATTTGAATATACAAGGTAGTCGATAAGTATCATCTGGAAAGTCTGGTCTCCCTTACTTTCCCTGGCAGACTTCCTGGAGATTTCACGATACACTGACTTCTCTCATCTAAGGGCACTGCTGAATATACAAGGCGCACATTCATTCCTTCTCCAGAGTCTTCATCAGATAAGTGTGTTATACTCCCAAGTATGAAGGTCACCTTTCATATTACCCACTGAAAACCTACAGCCGTGTAAAGAAGAATGTGTAAGTCAAGGTAAGACAGTTGAGATCTTCAGCAAACATTGCAAAGCTTCATTATTAAATATATACCTCAAATATAAACAAATGCTTCTAGCTTTATTTCTCTCAGTTACACAGTTTAACACTTAGCATAAACTGTTTCTCTGGCTGTATTTTGGTTTAGGAATACACATACATACTGGAAAAGATTTATATGCCCAATGTAGCATTTCTAGTAAAACTTCCTGTGGCCACCTAGTGGCCTAAATAGAATTGACCTATTAAAAATATTTAGGATTACGTGAAGATCCTCCTTATCTAAAAATAAAACAAAAAGTACAAGTTCCATAGCTTTTGCATATATTTAAGATATAAATACTAATTTGTTTGCACGGTACATCCTTTAACACAATCTGAGAAATCAAATGGGGGAGGGCAGGAACTGTGTGTGAGAAAAACTAATAACAGAAAGCAAAATTAAAGTGGCCCTTAGGCAAAGGATGAAATAGAAGGAGTAAAATATGAATCAAACCAATGATCTGAATGCATGAGTAAGTAAAGAAACAGTCTGCACTATGGTTGCAAGAGTTATTAAATCTGTATGCGAGGAAATAAAGGAAGAGGGTACCATCAAAGAGAAAAAAAGAAAGCTAAATGCTTGCATAGTGTGAAATGTTATGGAAATTCACCAGTTGTCCCCATTTGCAATAACTTAAATGAATATCACTTAAAACATCACACAGATTAAAGACATCTGTATATATTTCAGATTTCAATATTAATGCCAAAAATACATAGTATGATTTTACATAGGATTTATGCTACATTAGAACACTGAAGACAAACATCACTTGAGTATTAAATGAAACATTAAATATTAAATAACTGAAAAATAAAATAAAAAGTGTAAACACTAAACTAACTTGGGAATTTGCTATTGCAACACATCCAATGAAGTGGTTTTATAACAGTACAAAAAGATTAGATTTAAGTATATTTCCAGTCTACTTGGAATACACAAAGCTCATTCCAGAAACCTTTCAAAAACTGGTCCAGGATCACACAAGAACCTTCTCTCTCTTGAGCGCTATTTTCATTCCTTTACAGACTTAACTTTATACTGCCACCTCTACCGGTCTTCGCTCGTAAGGAGTAATCAACAGTAAAATGAATACTTCAGTTTGCCATTGTTTGCTAGCATCTTGGTGAAAACTGAGGATTTGTTGGAGATTCAGTGTAAGATTTGAGTTCATATGCAGCGCCGCTATCAACTTCCATGGATTTCCGAGAGAATAGGAGCCTTACATCTCTGTGGAGGTAGATCTTTCCAGATTTAGAACTCTGGAACCTGAAAAGATACAAGTATCTGTATTATCTAAACCAAAAGATTAATCTTTAAATATGATTGAATAAAATGTATTCCTTTAAGAGATTAAGGCAAAAAACCCCAACATTTGAACATACACAAAATCAACTTAAAGAACAAAGAATAACCTAACGTTTATGATCTACTTTGTTTCCTTCAGCATTGACAGGTTCTGTTCCTAATCGCCAACGTGGTGCACAGCTCTGAAAGTGGCATGGAATATTTGAAGTTCCCACTGCAATTTTGTGTGTTGAATATTAAAGCTGTCAGCAGTCTAGAAAGGCAAGAAGTGCTCTTCAGTGAGCACTCCTAAAAATGCCCAGAGGGTGGCCTAAGCACACAGAAAAGGGAAAGTTCAGCTATCAACAAAGACATATATATGTATTTATATATATATATATCTCACTGTTAGCTACTATACAGACTTCATTACTGTCTTCATGCAAGAAGTTTAATACTGCTTCATAGCACATGCCAAACTGAAGTCCAACTCAAGAAGCAGTAGGTAGAGGGATCTCTGCAGGCAGACAGGAAAGGTTTTTGCACGGAGCTATTTCAAAGAGATTACAGTTCACTGGCCTAATCACCAAAGTAAACAGCAGCCAATTCCTGCGCCCATTTATCTTTTATGCTGTGACTAAACAGCCTAATTCAGGTCCTCCAAACTTGCCAGGAATGTGCCACTTCCACTTTCCCTGAGATTTAACAAGTATATATACAGAGGAGAGATCTGCATTTCAGAGAACTGTTATTCTGTAGTCTTTATCTGGCAGAGCTCCCTAATTTCCTTCCCTCGACCAGGAAAAGCAGGAGAGCCTAAGGAGCATTTCTTATGGCAGCTGATGTTAACGTCCTTATCACCATGCCAGGGTAAGGGAAAAAAAAACACTATTGCTACTGTAACAGAAATAGAAACAGAAAAGCTACTGCTATTCTAATGAACAAATGATACCATTACAAATGCAGAGAGCAGTGCACACAGTATTATCCCATGTATTACAATTAGCACAGATCTTTAATAAGCATTTACTCATTGACCACTCTGAAGCAAAAGTAGTACCTCTTCAATTAAACCTAGCCATAATCAGGCTGAAATTGTGACAGGCAAGAAAGAGACAGCTACAGAAGATATGTCAAGGTTTCATCGTCTGGGGCAGTCAGGTTGTAGAAATGGATTCTGTGCCCCCATTTCATTCAGGCACGTGATGTAAAACAGCCTGTAGTCATCCCCACGGCCAGACAAAGGAAAATCCTGCTCTCCTAGATACAGCTGTCAATGACACTAAATGTGGTGGGGTCCAGCAGAATGCTCCTACTGGCTCCCACAGAGCTCCCATCCATCACTATTTATTTGCTTGGTGCTGTCAGTGTGAAAGCCCTTTACCTGACAGGCAAAGGAGAGAGGATTCTATCTTAAGACAAGACTCTGGAGGAGAGCACAAGAAGGAAGACTGAAAGAGGTGAGGGACAAACAGAACATATTAATTCAGTTAATTCAGCATGTAGGTCTTAAGCCATTTTAAAATGAAAAGTAAAATACTGAAAGATCTTTTTCAGCAAAACTATGCTTGATTGAAATTAATTCATCCAGAACAGGTAGATCTAATATCAGAGCACCATCATAAAGTAGAGCTCAATTCCCATTTTACACGTGGATCTATCGGAAAATAATTAGCAAGGTCTATTTTTAAACTTCTCAAGCTTACTATTCCATTAGTGCAAATTCTGCAAGACTCCCTTTGCCCAGAAAATAACACTTCCCTGTAATGTGGCTTTTCTGAGCATGACATTTCACAAGGACTGAGGATGATTCTATGATTCTATCAGTGGAGACAGAATCCAGAGGATTCTTCTCATCTCTGCTTCCACCACCTTTTTTCTTTGAGAAATGTTCATCATAGTAATTGGGATTTAGAAACAGTGCTTTTCGTACATGAAAATACATTGGAATAATCAAGAGACAACTATTACACACACCACCCTTGAGGGGTGGTGGTGGAGTGGCCAGCATGGGACTGCCTCCAGAGCTGTGGCAGCTTCAGTAGTGTGTAGAGGAATCAAGAAAAACACAAAGGTCTCTGACAGATGGTGTCCTAGGAACGGTTACAATAGACAAATATAGGAAGGCTTAAACACACAAGTATCAGATGAGCTAGAAAGTCTGACAGAGGAAACAAAGTGACAAACATTACTGAAGAAATAACAAATACAAGCATAAACCCCTTCCAATATATTTTATATGCCATCAAAATTCACGAAGAACAGAGTAAGCCACAGAAACAGGATATAACGGTGATCACAAAAACATAGGTAGCAAGACATGTTTTGCAAGTGGAAAAGACTATACAACACCATCTGTAAAATATGTAAGTAAACTGATTAGGACAAGGATGCAGATTTCGAGATCATGAAAAAAGCTGATAGATCAGAAAGATCAAAGCCCAACCAGTACATCAGTAATAGCAGGTATCTTCAGCTTCCACCAGTAAATTTATCATATGCCACATGAGGAAATCTTTTCTAAAGTTCTAACACCTTGAGGAATCACTACTTTTAACAACCAGTTTCAAGCTTACCCTCTCACCTAGCCTTCAGTAACAACCCCTGTTTAGCTGTTAAGCAACAACGATGCTCCATGCAATTAAAAGAGGCAATGTTAGTAACTAAAGCTGTTGACCAAGCTTTAAATACTTGAAAAATGCTGAGCTCTGGGCAGGTTAACTGTTTAATTGTCTTTCATAGGGATGCCAGAATGTGACCTAGAAACCTACATGGTCACCACCTTCATAACACTGGGCAGAAATGAGGCATGAGCAGAGCTGGACTCACAACTCTTAGTAGATAAATTACAATGCAAAAATCATTGCTTCACATGCAATTGATCCCCAAAACATCTCCAAGAAATTACTTAAACTCCAGATGCAACTCTTGATTTTCTTAATAGTGAATGAAGCTCAGCTGTTCTTTCAGGCTCCATTTTATATCTCAATACTGTAGCTGTGAGTATAAATACAGTCTAATGGCATATTGAACAGTATCTCAAACATACAAAGCTGCATGCAGAAGCTGCATACACAATAAATCTGACATTTTAAAGAGTGTTATAGAAAATCTGGCTGCCAATGTTAATTTCCAGACCTGTGCAAGCATTTTTGCTGCATTACCACTTGAAAAGAGGCTTTCATAATGTGAGTGCTGACAACTGTGATTAAGGCCTCGCAAGCAGATGCGACCACAATGCAGCTTACTGGTGGTGACTTCATTTGTTTTTTTAAACGAATTTTCAACATGTAAGCTTAAGATGTTTGTTTTCAACAACTGCTGCAGCTAAAACTGAAGGGCTGTTCTAAGCCAACTTGAATAACAGAAAAAAAACTCAATAGTTTAATTTTTTGGGGTTTGTGCATAAGTTTTCAGTAAAACGGTTTTGAGGAAACATTGCTGCTTTTTAAAAAGAAGTTTGAAAACCAACTTATGTAGAAATTAGTATACTAAGACTTTTTAAGCTCTCCTTATTAAAATCCATCTTTAGTAAAGAAGGCTACTAAATTGATGACTGAAACTTGTAAAATCTAAAGTACTCTTTAATAAATCACAAGACAGATCAACATAAGCTCCCATAATATTTCAAGAAGGTTTGTAGTTCTCCAGTTGTGAGAAAGGACCCGCTGTTTGGGTTCATCTCTGAAGCAAAGAACTTCTGGCACACTCCGCAGGTGCTTATTTTCCAAACTAAGCAGCTAAACATTTTTTTTCAGACAGAAATGGATGCATTTCAAATTACATATTATAAATCCATGAATTGATCCCTATTAGATGCCTGAAAGCTGAGCTAAATTGTACAGGTATTTCAAAACTGGAAGAATCAAAATAGCATTTCTGTTTCTCAGTAGGCATCAGAAATAGGAAACTCATGAAAGAAGATTTCTAGCTATAAAAGCCAACAGAGAGGAAACCAGGTTTTCCCTCAAATAGAAGTAATAATTGGGCCAGTCTACAACAAATTTACAAACCACATTAAAGCAGAAATGTAAAGGGGACACAAGTCCACAACTTCTCCATGCCTGTAGGCCAGACTTGGTTGGCCACAGAATTTTGCCCACCTCTGCAGCTGATGCTTGTCCCCAGTTCCCCTGCATCAGTTAGCTCAACATACAAGTGAATGGGGCCTTTTATTTGGCCTACACATTCTTTTTCAGAACAGCCCAGAACCACATTCTCAAGTTAGACATGGCAAGTTAGTGCGGCTTAAAAGGGTGAATTTCAATCCAGGCTAAAATTCAGAATAAAAACACAGTTCAGCAGCCTCAGCAGGATGCTATTTTCACACTCCAGTAAACCAACGCATTTTTTATGACTTTCAACTTTCATTTAATGGGAAAGCTTGGCCTGAAGTCACTGCCCTAACCAAAGTTGTGTTTCAGAAGTCTGCTGGGTAGAAATCAGCACCACTAAACAGGGAAAATGGTATGTACCAGAAGTAATTCTATAACAAGTTAAAGAGAAGAGTATGAGAGATTTAATTTTGTTTTGCTTGCTCACCCCAGAATGTCAGCTGCCATTGTTTTTATCCAAGTGCTGCAATGAAAGCACTGGGTCTGCACATATGTGGTTTGTTTTCCACAATGCAGGCAAAATCTGCACACTGGAGAAGGACAGAGTATATCCACCATTCCTCCTTTGTTCCAAACTACAGTCTCCAGAACCTCCTGAGAGCAGCAGCACAGTATCTGGTTTCAGGCAGTGCTTTGTAAATCATTTAAGGAAGATTGTGTGAATATTTTATAAAGTGACATGCATTATCAGCAGTTTCGCATCATGGAACAGGCATTTACATTTTTTACCACTAACTTCTGTATTTTTAGGAGTAACTCAGAATGCTTTTCATATTACAAGCTATTCTGGTCAAGAGGCATGCATGTGGGACACTGGGCACCTTCTCTACATTGATCCTTAGTTTTGGCTTTTCCCCATGTAACATCCACACTCACTATTTCCTGTAATCTCAAAAGAAGTACGCTGATCCAGCCAGAACTAGATCTCTCTTACTATTAAGCCTTACAAGACTCTACAAAATTCTTCAATGCCAAAAAAGAGCTTTATATTTTAACTTTGTTTCTCCCAAGCAGAGTCCAAATTATTTATTAGCTCTTCTTCCGCTGCTGTCTAGCTTCAGGACCAAAGTTAAAGGCATTCTTTTTGTAGATCAGCCTGTGTACAGAAAGGTTGGCTGGAAAGGAAATCATGAGATAAATGTTGTGAGGTACTTGGGTTTTTTTGTGGTTTTGTTTGTTTGGGTTGTTTTGATTTTGGGGTCTTCTTTTGTTAACTCTGAGGGGCTTACCTCAGATGTATGAGGTAGCGTAGCAGCCTTTCTTCAGTCTGTTGACTGTTTTCTTTATTGACAGTTCTCTTGACTTCTCGTCTCACAGGAACAGAGAAAGTTCTTTGCCGTAGGAATGTTTGATGATTAGCTGGCATTTCTCTCAAGTCATAGATCACTACAAACATCTTCACCACAGTTTTGTTAGGGTTAAATAAGGTCTGAAAAGACAAATAGTTCAATGCAATACTCTTTAGAGATGGCAAATTAATAAAACATAAATGAACAAACAAACAGCAAGACCCGAACAAACTCCACCTGCCAAAATAGTCACCATCCTGTATGCACTTTGTTCTGGTGCCATACAGAAACGTTTATGTAAAAACATTGTGTAGTTTTTCTGGTTTCCAACACCTCAGCTGCTAGCAATTCCCACTGATAATACTAAACACAACCTCATCTGAATGAAACACCAGTGTATGAATACTGTTTTGCTAATCGGCATCTCTCCCCGTTTATTTTTCCAGTCAGCTTTTTGTCTACACTATTTTCTAAACACAATATGCTCACGGGAAGCACAGTGGTGGGCTCTGCTTTTAATCCTAAAATGTGTTACCCTGAACTGGGTTATTAAAGGAAAGAGGCAGATCTTCGGTATTAAGCAGTGACTGTGATGTACTTTCTAATTTTATTACAAAAACAAAAAAAAAAAGGTGATATTAAAATATTACAAAATTTAGATACAACTGAGTTACTTCTCTGTTACGTGTTCAAAGCCACAGTGTCCCCAACTATTCTTAATCTTCAGTAACTGATTTTAAGTCTCTTCACAGCACAGATGGGTTCAAAGGTTGGGAGTCTTATTTCTGCTTTGCATAACTGCAGTACCTACAGAGAAGTACCATTTCCACTGCTAGCTTCGTGCTCATCTCCAGTAACCCCATCTCCTCTGCATGACTTCCTTGATATTAGTGGTTTCAAGGGTCTCTTATCTGCTGAATACATACCACTTGTATTGTTCCTGAAGGCGGTACCCGATAACCCCTTTTACCAAGGGACTCTAAAGTAATTACACCCTGGGGAAAAAAAAAAATAATAAAGGGCAAGCATTTAATTCACAGGGAGAGATGTAAACAAATCAGAACATTCTATTCATGTAATTGCATTCATTAAAAAACAACAAACCCAAAACCTAGTAATGCATAAAAACTAAAATACAGAGAAGGCAATGAATTTAAGATGCAGTTAAAAATCAAGAGTAGGGACCTTACAGATACTTTGGCAGATCATTAGAAGCTGTGCAATAAGTGGTATATTCTCATCTTGTAAAGATCCAAGTTGCTGCATTTCCAAACTAGCAGTCAGGGAGCTATGGCAAAATAGAACTGTCTTTAAAACATGGCTCCCAAGTTAAAATGGAAACTTTGTCTCCTCCTTTCCATTTTTATATCACCTACAATTGTACCAATATACCCCATATCTCAAAGAACTGATTTCTGCTTTTCAAAGGCAGCAGATGCACTTAATCTTCCATTCTAATCCAGACTTTAGCAATGATGACATCTGCTTTTAGTGCGCTGGAACACTGCTGAGGCTACCCTTAGGGTGCTGCCCTAGAGCACACGTTTGATTGACCTGCAGTGCACAGCTGTTGGCCTCCGCTGCACTGGACTTAAATCCCCAAAACCCCCAAACAAACAACAACAAAAAAGACCCCAGAGGAGAGAAACTAGCTATAAAAACATGAACAGTGTTTCTGATGATGGAGGCATTATACAAATGTTGTATTAATCCTGGGAGACTCAGCCATAATAGAATGTTTAGAGCATGTGGAAAAGCCTGAAACAATGAAACTCAGCTAGGAAAATAAGCAATGCTACTTTAACCATTTGAGGAACATCAGAATCCCTTCACCTCCTGGAAAATCACGTGAAATAATCTAGAAAAATGAAAGCAAAACAATAGATACTTCTTTGCAGTGGTTAAGAGAAGATACATAAAAGTTTAAACTATTACTCAAACTTAATTTGTAAAGCCATTTCATTTTATGAAGGTCGTTTCCATTGCTCTGACCTTCTGTCAGAAACAGAAGGTGAGAAATATGTTAAGTGCCATTAATTTACAATCTCAGTGTTGGGATAATCAGATGTTCATTGCTTTACTTACTTGTTTAAATGGACTATTTACTGTATCTTAGACAGACATACGCACCTGAAAACCTTTAAAAATTAGTAACACTGAGGTTCCTTAACAAGTATTCAGAACAAATCTAGCCGCCTAATTCAATGCTATCATACAAGACATCCCTTGATTCTTACAAGGAAGCATGCTTTTTACAAGGAAGCACTTTTAGACGTCCAAAAACCATGCACACAAATACTGAGAACACAAATACTGTGTCGGTGTGAACATCAGCAAAACATACAGCTTGTGAGAGTGCCGTGTGTCACAGTAGCTGAGACATTATTTGCTTTAAAAGAAAGGGCTGAAAAACTTCTGTGCCTGAAGTCTCCATCAGCAAATACACCTTGGCTGCACCTAACCCACTCTGGGAGTGGTTAGTTGCCCAGGGAATCTGCTTGTTGGGACAACAAAATGTATCCCATTAAGTCCAGCTATTGCCTCACTGCCTATTTTAAGACAGGTGGATAAAAAGAGATGGTGGGGGTTGATTCCTCCAGTGTGGAGGGAGACAAATATGTCCAGTATCCCAAGGTGAGAGCAGCTGGATGGTGCAGCAGAGCAATGGGAGGAAAAGCACTAGTTAGGGAAAGGAAAAAGGGACAGAACTCCATCGTAAGCAGCTGAAAACAACCCAGATCCCTTCAAACCCACTTGCTGGACATCTACTCACAGAGCTCTTGTTCTTCACCTGCACCTATCAGAATTTATGTAAAACAAATCCAATCACACACTTACCATGTAAGGAGAGGGTGCATTATCATCTGAAACGCTGTAGAATGACACTTCAACTGGCAGAGTCATGTGTGTGGGACAAAAGACTCCACTTGCTCCTACTTCTGCTGTGAAACCCTCCACGACGCCGAGCGGGTCTAAGCGAAAATTCAGGACAGATTCCTGAAAAACAAAACACACACAGCTTAGGTTGGAAACACCTCAGAATATAGCAGGTTTATATAAAACCTTGGGTCTGTTCTAAGGTGACCTGCCAGAAATCAGCACTGAGGCAAGAATTATGATAAACAGGAGAACATTCAGCAAGATGATACCGGTTTAAGAGAAAGCTCCATCCACATCCAGTCTTCACCCTACTGAAACCAGTGCAAAAGCCCAGAGAATTTTATTGCAGGAGGATCTAGGCATGATTTTGCTTGACATATAATAGCTGGGGGGGGCGGGGGAATCTAGAATCTGCAGCTTTTCTCAACACACTCACTCTGTATTTCACAGAGTATGATACAACCCATTAATACACTTGCTATCAGTTGCTGGTATTTGATATGCTAGACAAAGTGAAGAGCTGGAGACTACACTTCAAATACATTCTGTTTACTACACTGATTCAACACAGCTTTTGTGATCAAGCAGTCATTAAGAGTGAAAATGTAAATCTTTTTTTCTAGGTATATACATGGACAATTACAGATTATTAAACCTTATTTAAGTCAACAGAGCACCTCCTCACTTGACCATAGCGGGAAATAAAAGTTAAGCAACGCGTTGTGTCTGAATCTCTGAAATAGAAGATGTCTGGGGCATGAAATATGTGCCCTTACAGCTGGAAATTAAAACAAATTTTATTCAACTTAATTATAAACTTTTACATTGTAATCAGGCTGGAATTATTCACAGTCAAGTACTTTCCAAAGCAGTTCAGAAGAATAATAACAATACCACAAGAATTCCAGAGAATATGCAATACCTCAAAGTTTCCCAGAAGGCTAAGACTTGTTACTGGTGGAGCACTAGAACTTAGGAATGGTTTCCCATGGCTCTCTGGATCCCTGTCTCTGTTTATACATTGTTGTGGGCTATTAAAAATAAAATAAAAAAAAAGAATAAATATAAAGGATAAAAGCATTGGCTTTTGTCTTCTGGGTACAAAGAGCTCTAGAAAGGATCTTTTACTTACTGCATTACAAAATATTGTCCTAAAGAAGTAACAGTTGAACATTGCCTGGTAATACTTTAGCAAAACATTTTTGAGTTGACTGAAAAAATACAGTCACAAGTTTGACAGTACAGGGGTTGAAGACAATAAAAATATAGATTGTTCATTAAGTCCATTAAATAGGAACCAAATTATCAGATTGTTCTCTCTTGCATGCAGGTATTTTTGTCCTGTATCCTGAAGTTTCTAACATCAAAATACCATATTATAAGCTGTTTATGTTAACTGCATTAATGTACAAAAGGCCACAGTCGGTTCCTTTTTATAAGGCAAAATGTTTAACTCATTCAACACCAAGAACAAAACAGACACAAAAATAACACTGACTTGAAGAAGAATCAACAATTGCTGTATTTTGTTTGAAAATTCAGGTGTATATGACAGCATGCCTCCCCCAGGACAGAGCTTGTACCATGGCTATGTCCCAGAGCTGTGCTAACCTGGAACCCTGTGGCAACTCAGCTGCCAAGCCTTATTTCAAAATAAGGATTCTTTTTGAAAGGCCCCCATTTTCTGTCTTTGCTAACATGATTTGTGGTTGCATATGGATATGTCTCCCCAAAACATTTTAATGTTGCTTGTAAATAAAACACACCTTCTTGCAGACAGACATTTCAACTGCAGCAGTGATGAATCCAGATCAAAGCACCCCGACTGTGTTTTCCTTTGAGGAACCTCAAAAGGGAAAGAACATGCTAATTTGAAAACTGTACCGCTAGCAAGGGCAATTTTGCCAAGTAAGCACAAGTTTCCCAATAATTTTCATGACATTACAAAACTATGAACACAGAGCAGAAGTCATTCCTATGCATTCTAAACCTAGTGAAGAAAATCCTAGAATTATTGATGAGAAGACTGTAAATTCTGATTTAAAAGGTATTTGAATAAAGACTCATTCAAGAGGCTGATGCCTTTTTAGAACGGTACAGAACATTACTACTAAACAGGCTGTAACAATTTCCATCCGAGTTCCCTGAAAATATGACAGCTTTTACAAGCACTGAAGAATAAAATATATCAGGCATTGATTACAAAACATCACTACTTCAGAAGTTTTAATTGAGACTCCCTTTTTCTTTAAAGACTCCGAACAACCTACCAAGAGCTGTAACACTTCCCCAATGTCCTCCTGTCTTATCGCAGCAGCTTTGTATCACTGAGTCATTCAATGACATTTCTGATTGCTGAAGAATATACAGTACAAACTGTTCACAGAAACAAAAGCTTTGGAACAATAGGCAATCAGATATTAATAACTCACACAAAAACTCTTAAATGACAAAATATGTTAGCTTACACTAATTTGCAAAATGCTTTCTTCTGTGCTCTAAAATAACACCAAAGCTTTTTTTTTTCCATAGAATTTTCTAATGTCACCTTTTGTTAATCTTGATAGGATCTCAAAAACTACCTCCTTAATATTCTCTTTTCCAGAATTATTGTTCAACTTCATGTGAGTGTTAACTCTCAAATTTCCACTTGCAAGAGCATTCATTCTGACACTGAAAGTAAACACACACACTTCACCTAGGTAATTGGTCCATTTTTCTACCATACATAGATACCAAAAGAACAAAATACCTCCTTTCTCAGCATAACTCCAACAATAACTTACAGGACTTGAAAGCAGAGGCAATCCAGTTCTGGGATGAAAAGCCTTGGTTGACGTTCCATCCAAGGATCGAAAATTATGTTTCCGCCATGTATTTGCATGTTTTAAAGACGGTGCTTTCTGTCAGCAAAACAAATTTACCCAAGATCAATGGGATATTTCAATGGTCTATCATGGCAATACTTTCCTTGCTGTAATGGAGAGGACTTATGAACCAGGTGGATCAGCATCACACTAGCATATTATGGAATACTTAGTATAAATATGTCTTGACTCAATCTACAGTCACAGAGACTGGTCACTAAAGATCACATACTCTGAGACACTGGTGTACTTATAAAAAGACAGGATGCTTAACTGCCCAATTGTCGTTCATAAGGTTATCGCCATAAGCAGAATAAGATAATCTTCTCAATGTTAAATTTCTAATTAAGAAGGTATGGGGAAGGCACTACCAGCCAAACATTACTTTAGACCAAACCAGCAATAATAACATGCTGCTCTGTACAAAGTTAGACTTAAATCCATGTACATACTGGTCCTTAGCAGATATGGGGTATAAGCTATGTGACTATATGAATTGTTTTTTTCCTCTGAGTATTTACCTGTACATCTGGGTTCTTCAGCCGGTCACACTTAACTACACTGTCCTCTGTAGGTTTCTTCTGAGAAGTGCTTTGTAAATCGACACCTATTGGGTCTTCATTCTCATCATGTGCAGTTTTAGTTTTATCTTGTTTGGTTTTGTTTTTGAAACTGTCATGGTCTTTATTTAAATAATTCTCAATACTAATAAGCTGAGTGTTTTGCTCATAAATAATTGGTTTTTTTGAGTCTTTATCTAAACACTTGAGCTCATTTTTGTGCAAAGAGTCAGAAACCTGCATCACAGTTGCCTTTTTTGTACCTTCAAGTATTCGGCATTTATCTATCTGTAAATTGTTAAAAGAACTGTCCGTGCTGTTGTTCTCATTAGAAACTGTTCTTTCTTTAAGTTTATTTGTGCAAATCTGTTCATCAATGTTGCTGAAATTTGAACACTGTTTAATTCTGTTGGCTATCTGGTCTTTCTGTGCACAACCAGAATGTTTCATTTCCGATTTATCTGGCAATTCAGATTTATTTTCTTTAATACATGATGATGACGTGTGAATGTTAGTAAATGCATGAGAAGTTTTATTGGAAGTCTGATGAAATGCACTGCGGACAGCTTCACTGGGTTTTGATAAAACTAATTTTCTTCTTGCTTGGAGTTTCAGAGAAGGCTTTGATTCTCCATCAAACCTAGAAGGACTGATAGGAGTATCAGGTGTCTTAGTCCTTGATTTACTGCTGTCTTCTAATGAATTAAAATCAGATTTAGCAAAAGAAACAGAAGAGGGTTCCTTGCCTTTCTTCAGCAAATTTTCATCTTCATATGTACTTCGGAAAATCTTTGAAGTAACTGGGCTAGTCTCATGTCCTTTTAAAGGATGTCCAGTAACATGAGAAGTAGCCGGATCACAATGAATCAAGTGTTGGGCAATCCTTGCTATCACCTCCTGCCGCTCCTGGAGCAGAGAATCGATCAGGGGATTGCCCTCTCCTGCCAACTGACGGCCATAATGGTTCACTGGAACGCGGGAATCCAGCAGTGTGATCTCTGGTATTGCTCTAGTTTTCCCTTCACTGCCATCTTGTATCACATTGTCTAAGTTGGCAATAGAAACAGGGGAGTTCTCCTTGCCTTTCCTTGGCAAGTTTTCGTCTTCGTAAGTACTCCGAAAGCTTTTCGGAGTAGCCAAGCTGTTTTCATGTATGTTGAATGGACGTCCAGTAACAACTGGTGAAGTAGCTGGATCACAGTGAATCAAGTGCTGAGCAATCCGTGCAATGACTTCTTGTCGCTCTTGAAGTAAAGAGCCTATCAAAGGATTGGTTTCTCCTGTGGGCTGATGAGAGCAATGACTATTCGAAACACGAGAATCAGCTAGGGAAAAGGATTTAAAAGTTCTGACAGGTGCTTCGTGAAATTGCGTCTTACTGTCTGCTGTAGCATTATAGCACTGAACCTTAGACTGCGATGCCCCAAAGTCAGATCCAAGTCTGGTAGATGGATAAAGTTTTAAATTTCTGAGAGATGTGGTAAATTCAGGTGCCTTTTTTCCATTAAGTTGCCCTTCAGGTGTCACTGTCCACGTCTGTTTCCCACAGAAGCGCTGTGGACTGGAGGTACTGCATTGCTGTGCCGCAATGGAATCACTGTGCTGATGTAACTTACGCTCTTGCATTCTCTTTTCATAAAAGCTAAGGTTGGTGTGAATACTACAGGTCAGTACTGGGTAGTTCGATTGTCTGGGCAAGGACTGGACACTGACTCTCAAGGCCACGTTGTGAGAAACGTTTGGAACAGGAAAGACATGCTCAGTTGGTGTCTGGGAAAACTTCCATTGCAAGTCCACATCTGCAGCGCTCACCCTGAAACAGTACAGAAAGGCATTTACAGAATTATCTAAATGGAGAGTCTTTAATTATCTACTTAATAACACAACTGCCTAAATAAAAGCACTAGAAAAACCAGCAATTGCTGTATTTCGCTAAGTGTATGAATCCTATACAATCACCAAAAGAACTGGGACAACAACGTGGCACCTTCTGAAAGCAAACAGGAAAACTAGAGGGAAGGATGGTTTTAAGATAAGTTGCAACAATCTGCAAACAGCAAACGAGTAGCATTTTTTTCCATCCCAGACATACCTGTACAGAATGTTTCGGGGAACAGCACCATGTGAAACACTCAGCCACGCACTTAGCTGAGAGAAGAACACAAAAGAGCGAACAGCCAATAAAAGGGTCTTCTCTTCAATAAATCGATCTCCACTCCTAAAATGGAGTAAAAGAAACACATGGATGCTGGCAAGAATATACACTATTAGAACAAGAACATTTTCAAAGCTTCATTCTGAAAATAAAACACAGCTGAATCAAGCAAAACAACGAAACACTGAAGATTACAGAGCCCGATTTGGTTTTATCCACATAGTAATTTATACAATTTAATATAACAAGACATGTACAAAAATCTTCAGCTAGGAGCGTTTCATACTCTGTGTTGCAGAGTGTGCACTGCAGAACATATGAGTACAGGAACACTGTGATTAAAAGATGGTCAGATTTCATTGGTAAATAGTGGTTTTCTTAGATCAGTCCTCATGGCTATGGACCAGTACAAAACTGCTGATAACTTTAAGGCCTTTAATATGACAAGATTCTTGCAACTGTCAGCTAATCTTCATATTCAACTTACTGTCGAGGAACTGGCTCCAAAATCCACCTTTCTAATAGCAATGCATCTTGTTTAATTGCAGGGTCATTTAAATCATTCCCCTCAGTGGTGGGCCCTTCATCGCTATAGCAACAGTCTGGAAGTAGCATCACTTCTACCATGATTGGAATATTGTTCTTCCACAGTAGCATAACCTCAGATCTGGTTCGCCTGGCTTGACGACACTGAAGGAAAGAAAAAATGTCAACGCATGTAAGCCATAAAAATATTATCCAGATTTAAGTGTACTTTAAAAACATGTTCCAAAGTACTGGCAAAGACTAAGGGTGAAATTCTGCAAACCAGGTTTCACTAAATCAGAGATAAGATTCCAGAGCTATTAAATGAAAAATAATTAACAAATCCTTTTATGGTTGCCATTTGAGCAACTTCTGTAGACAATTATATTAAAAAGAGCACATAAATCCACATTTCCCCAATAACTGTACTTTGCTACCTTGTACTTCTCTCTCCACAAGTCATCCTCTTGGATGGACACACTCAAGCAGTATCTTTATAAGTTCTGTGTCTTGGAGCAGGCTAACTTCTACATGAATAATAGCTTAAATTCTCACAGTACTTAGGGACTTTTACTTGAAATGGGGTGCTCCAACCTTACTCCCAAACAGAGTAGCTACGTTTGTTGTGTTCATGTTTTTTGGATCACTAACTTTTCAATAATACCTGAAAAAGCAAGAAGTTAGGCAAGTCAGCCTATATTTTATCAAAAAAAAAAAACCCAAAACCAAACCAAAAAACCATCCAAACCAAACAGACCAAGAATGCTAAGAATAGCACTCTCCATTTGCATAATAAAGACCTGAAAATGTACTGCATTGAAGTAGTCATGCAGAATTTCATGTTCAAGGATAAAAGGCTTAATGATCTCTCATTTTAAGGACAGCTCTATTATTAGTATGATACTGAATTACACAGTCATTTAAATGTGGGACTGACAGAAAGCAATTGTTACTTGTGCTAAACCGTGACTCTACCATGGGGTTCTCAGCTGACTTTAATCAGGGTAGCAAGGATGCCCACCATGACACTTAAAATGAAACGAGTACCGTCATACCTGAGCCAGTTTGTCGCTGCATTCATGCTTAGTTGTTGGCAGCTGACCTGATTGTGCCGGCGGGCAATGAAAGCCCTCTGTTCTGCCTTTGATCGAGTACTCGGGTGTTCGACCTTCAGTGATCAGCAAGGCCAAGGAGACCAGGAACTCCTCGGCTTCATACTCAAAGTATTCATCCAAAGTATCTGTCAGTTCAAAAAGACAAAAAAAATGACATCTGCTGTATACTAAGCTTTCAGTTGTTGGCTTAGCCCACATTTTTGTTTCAATTTACATTTAAAACAAGAGCTATGGGAAATGGATCTTTGTTCTACACTGGCTGCACTCCCTATAAGTTACTGTACCACCACAAAACAATTTTCCTCATCCCATAACATTGTCGCTACAAGGAGACAAGATTAGAAATACTCTGAAGAAAGATTCATATTGTAACTGGTCAGTGCAGCAGATGTCAGCAGTGCTGAAAAACAATGCTTTGTGCTGTGAACCACAGCTGGATCACAGCCTCCCTAGAAGAAAAAAGCTTCCTGGGTTCTGGTAGGAAAAGTCTGATGGCAGTATGACTTGGCATTGTTAGTATCATGGGATAGAAAGAGAAATCACAGTACATCATAAAATACATTAAAGATTGAATGAGGAAAAAAAAAGAAATATTTACTTCTTTTAGAAGAAGTGGGACACAATGTTCTTGAAGTTTTTACTGTGATTCCCTCCTGCTGAGAGCAAGGCTTACTTGAGAGGTCCATTTTCAGTTACCATTAGCACACAGGAAAGGTTCCCAAAGAACATACAGAGTGTTCATTGTTTTGTACCATGGTCAGTCTAAACTTGCGCAAAGAATTAAAACTCAACAAGTCTCCGCAGACAAAGCAGCAGCTGGCATTGCTCTTCATGAATTTCCCTGGCACACTCTATTCGCAGAGAGGGAGAATGTTCCCTGATTTTATGGTGTTGTTTATGGTATGACCACCCTTCTCCTTCTCCCTCATCGTGAAGATGTCATACATCATTCAAACAGATTCAAGTACAACCAGATCATGTCACTCCCTTCTCTGCTTAGAAACGCTTAAGTTTCAAAATGATTTAGTTACTGAAGAGGTTAGAGGAAAATCTCTTTTCTGAAAAAGCTAAACTACTTCTACTTCAGAGTCTATTTTAAGAGCAGAAAAGAAAAGCAGGTGGAGGCAAGGCTGCCAGCAGTCCTTCACCTTTATATTTATGCTTTAGGGGAGAAAAAGCACATGACATCTTTACAGTTTTAGCTTAAATGTCCTAAGTCATCCAACAAAACTGCCACAGGAACAGAGTTAATTTCTATTCACGTTTTGATTACCATGCATAAAACACCTTTCCACTTGGAAAAAAAAAAGAGTCTCTTTTGTCTTCATTCCCTCATAGCAGAGCGTTTGGCAGACATGACAAGACAGACTTCAGAGATCCATACAAGAAGAGATGCATGAAACAAAAGCTGCAATTAAATGTGCAATTACCTGCATATGCAAATTGTAAAGTGTGTAAAACTAGCTTTTGCATGTACATATTTGCCTAGCCCAGGCTTGTACTCCACAGACCCCAGGGCTTACAGCCTTTTTGTTGGATCTACATAAAGTAAATAAGAGAAGCCAGCCCACTGCCAGGGAACAAAAATCATTGCATAGTCATCCTCATCTTTACTGACTCTTTCTCCCCACCCTTTTAAAGGGATTCACTTACACAGCTGCTTTCAGTGGCAGGGACAGGCTATACCTGGGCCCCTTTTTATACAGTGTGCCCATATGCAGCCAGTGGTGCAGCACTCCTGACCCACACCATACATGTCACACCTGCATGCACACATCTATGAGAAGATGCTACCCACTGGACTGCCACAACCAGCACAGGTCCTGTGGCTCCATCCTCCATGGGGGAGCAGGGAAGGGGCTCTTCTGACACAGCTGTCTGCCCCCCGCCTTGGGGGGCACCTTGACCAGAAAGGGACCTTGGGCCCTGGAAGAACAGGGCTCTGCCAGGGTAATTCATCTGGCCACTGCCTGCCCTCAGGCAGAATTAAAACCAGAGAACAGATGAATTACCCTGGAAGACCCCACATGGCACGTGAACAATGCATTAAATCATCTGGCACAAGTTAAAATGGTTATTCATCTGACGGATGGCAGAAAATGACTAATAAAGGGTGCATGAAAGGAATAGTAAATAATAAAGGACAAGACACTTTGGTGGTGTTATGAGTCACTTAGAGAATTAGGCACCTGCTTTTTTTTTTTCCCTTCTTTTTTTTCCAGCTGAAAGTCTGGTGAGCAATAGGCAAATCATTCTTGAGGGTATGGAAATGTGATTTGCAAGGACTCTGAAAAGCATTTGGTATTACAGCTGACCAAAAACATAACGGCAGCATTATTTATCTAGAGCAGGGTGCCCAGTGAAGCTGTGGCTGCCCCATCCCTGGCAGTGTTCAAGGCCAGGTCGGATGGGGCTTGGAGCAGCCTGCCATAGCGGAAGGTGTCCCTGCCCATGGCAGGGGGTTAGAACTGGATAAGCTTTAAGGTCATTTCCAACCCAAACCATCCTATGATTCTATGATCTTTCTGCTAACACAAGCTTCGTGCTCCTTTGTATGCTCAAGGCCATGGTAATGTCAAGGAAGCCACAGCAGGAAATATCACTACTGGAGTACTTTTCCTACTCTGACATAGAAGTTCAAAAACTCTAGAAATTGTTCAGCAGGAATGATACTAACTTAAACCAGAATTGCCTCATGCTTAGCAGACTAAACAGAAGGGGAATTCATCCTTGAGAAAATGTGTAAGAGGAATTCTGTTTAGTTAAAATAAGTAAAAACATCTATGGGTTTACAGAAAAAATAAAGAGCTTGAGCAATATCTGCAAATGCTTTTGCACACAGATCCCATCTCAAACTTCATCTTACTGTATGTAACGGAAACATGCACAGTAAGATGTGGTATCTGAAAACTTACCTTCGATGATTTTAAATAGCAAGGAACAGTAAAATTGACAAGCCCTTTAATTAACAGCAGCAGCTTACTATGTGAAGCTGTAGACCTTGTATTACTTCGCTCTTTTCTTAGAAACAAAAAAGATAAAAATCTATACTTGATCAGAAGCTTCTGGACTTTACAGAAATTAACAAATAAATCCTTTGGCCTGAGTGCTTCTGCTGAGCTGGTTAGATGCAGGTAAAAAAGCCCACCCCCTTTTTGCATGAAAAAAATCTGATATCAAAGCTTATATTGTATATCTAAAACACTCAGTGTCTTTACAGGCATGTAGCACAAACTGACATAAGCCATAGACGACCTAAGCATGTCCAAGATCCAGTGAATGTAGTAAATAAGCAAGATCTAGTGAATAAAGCAAGGTAAATAAATCTGAAATGAGTAGTGATTATTTCAGAATACATATGCAATACTACTTTATGTAAACAGACAAAGCTTACTTTTAAGTTCCATTTGCAAACACTGCCTCTGTTCCTGTATCAGACCCATTATTTCAGAAGCAACCAGTTTCTTGCCTCAAGCATAGGAGACCCATCTCACTAAAGATTCAAATCTATATTGGCTGCAGTCACAAAAACATGATATTGTTTCAAGATCAAACTTTCATCTTCTTAAAGGATGGTAAACATCAAGTATTCAACTAGGAAATGCTACTGTTTTCATAACAGCATTATAAAGACAGGCAACACTTTATGTCAGCATTGTAACAAACAAAGTATTTGATATGGACTAAAAAAAGCACAAATAGCAGGGATACTGAGGGGTTTTCTACAAAGTTCATGAGCATATTGATGGTTTTTAGCTCCATTAGATTTATATATCACTTAGCCCCTTTTCATAAAGGAAAAACCCCCATAAATATTGAAAAGCCTGGTAAATTGTTCCTATACAAAAGACACAGATGATGCAAGTTGATGTAATTGAGGACAAGGGTGGACAGACATTTATAGAAACAGCAAACTCAGTGTTTAGTTATAAAAAGTCTTACAGTGTGTGTGCTGTAACTGTTTTCTTTTGTGTATGAATCAGCCCTGTTTAAGAGACACATCATATATTGTGCATAGAGAAACCTCAATCCTATAATCTGACTATACAAAAATGATTACTTTTCTGCTTCATCTCTAGCAACGGGACATGCAAGTAAATAATACAAAATATGCATCCCGGCAGTGTCTGGGTTTTATTCCCCTTAAAATAGCAAAGAAAACCCAGTTACTTGACTGAGTAGGTTGGAATTAAAGTAACAAGACACTACAGCCCTTTAACAGATACATTGGAACTGAAGCTTATTGACCAGGTGGTCACAAGAGATAGCAGATGTCAGGCTCCTCTAGGAGGAAAAAAGGTGAACACAAATTTAGACTGAAGCTACTGCACATACACCAGAACACACAGTACTGGAGAACTGGAACCTGGAGGCACATCCTTGTTTCTTGCTTTGCCTCCTGCACATACCAACCTCAACTAAGGCTGATTTCATACACCTTATGGACAAGCAGAAAAGCCCATTTAACCAGAGATATCATAAAAACAGTCTTCAGTCCTTGTCCTCCCCTACCCACTACACACATGGGCACATCACTGGAGCACTGAAATAAAGAATAAGAACTCAAAAAGACCCGAAAAAAGTTAAGCTGGCTGACATCTTAAAACATCTGTGGAAGTTAGGTACTAGTGCTAGGAAGTGGTAGTAGTGAGTCACAAATCCACTTAACTGCCACCCAAGGATTTTCTCAAAACTTCAGTTAATCCACTTGTACCCAGCTGACTCCTTTCCCAAGCAGATCACACTTACATGGACCAACTCCCTTCCTTTTCCTACCACAGCATTTTCTGTAGTCATTACAGAAAACGTTTTCCTGTAATACATGTATTAGAAGAGCATTTAATCTATTTTCTAGGCTTAGACATGAAACAAAGACATTTGATACCATGTAACCCATTGTGCTCCAGGGGCCATCTGCAATCCTATGCTCTACTCTGCCCAGGGACAGTGAAAGGGTAAACAGCCCTGTACCACCTTCCTGCCAAGACCAGGCAGTGCCACTGTAATCTCCCTTAGTCCATGCTTATTTTATTGTCTAGCACCTTTCCTACTGCACTGCACACCACAAACATCTACCAAGCTTGCCCTCTTTTCAGAAGAGCTTGTTTTCCTAAAGCGACTTTCTTCAAAGACAAATTTATTCAGCTTGAACTACCTGTTAGTCCTGACCTCCACCGATTTGGAGGGCTATTTTCCTAGACGGTCCACTAAACAACTAACAATTGACTTTAAATATGCTCTGTAACAGTCCAGACCTCCCTGGAAAATCTTCAGGCATCCATCATGGATTTTGAAGGCCACCGATTTAAAATAATCAGATTTCTACCTCACTTCTTAGAAAGTTGAAACCCAGTAAGCAAAGCAGTAGACAAGCGCACATGGTGTGTTCTGGTCGGATTCCCAGCTGACAAGCCCTGCTCCTGACCTACCCCAGCTGTCCAACAGGCACCTTGGCACAGTCGCTACCTCGGCTCTCTGCTTCCTTCCCGTGTTACAATTTTCTTTGAAAGACTAAATATATTCCTTAAGTACTTGGGGTTTTTTGTGCTTTTAGTACAGGCTGTCTGTAAGGAGATGCTTCAGTCTAAGAGGCCCGTGGCAGGACACTCAGGCTGCACTATCAGCTTTCAGAATCCACCACCTCCTAGCAAAGGCATCACTCTGCATTTACAAATGTACAGCAAAAGTACTCTGGCCCTTCCCCCCAAACAGTCAACTGGATAAGTTTCATTATCTCGCTATTCCAAGAAGCAGGGGTAAAGGTAGGTCTGTATTTTAAGAATAAAGCAGGGATTCAGGAAACTACTGTAAAGGAAATGAAACACAATGTAAACATTTGACTAACAGCTTCTCTTCTGGAATTAGAAACACCTATGGGTGCTCCGGTTAACTAATTCCATGTTGTGTTTCACTTCAAAAGAAAGTTGCCCTTGAACCCCCCCAAATTCATGATGAGCAGTCATATTGCGTCTGCATATTACAAGCCTGTAATTATATCTGAAGTCACACGCTTCAAAAGCCAGGCTATATTAAGTATAACTTAAGCTATCAAGAGGTAAAGTCATAAGATGGTCTACTTGCTTCAAAAAACAAAGTATTGGTTAAGTTTATTTAAACTGAAGCATATGCAAGGAACTGGTTACCTTATCTTAAAACACTCCTACACAGACATTTTTCCCCCCCACATTAACTCCTTAGATTCTTAGGGACCAAGATCTTCAAGGTCAGGACAGCCATTATGAAAACATGAGGACTGCAGCACAGTACCTCATCTTACTCTTGCTGTCACCTTACTTTTTCCAGGGTACCAAACTGAACCACTACCTGATTATCAAAGCAGTTCAGCTGTAGGCAGGAAATGGCAGCATAGGAATTTCACATTAGGATTGATGCATGCCTGCTATTCAAAGAAAATATAGAGTATAAGCTATAAAAAATTGCTGAATCTACTTAGTTTTGTATAGCAACAGAGGAAGAAATTTACCTGCTTATAATTAGAAAAACAAAACCATGTACACCACTAAGGGTGTGTGTGTGTGTGTGTGTGTGTATGTGTCTGTGTGTTAAAAGTCAAGACACAGCTACATGGCAGATGATGAAGTCAGCTCGGAGCTCCAGAGTAATAAAAATCAATCAGTACCAATCAGTGCCATCAGCTCTACTCCAGACTGCAGTGCCGCAGTAACTCCCCAGTACGTGTGTATCACTGCCTACTTACCACACACTTCTGCTGGATGCCTCTCACAGCATCCAAAGCTAAACTTCCTTTACCATAAATAAAGTTACCAAAAAGAGACTGGTCTTAAAATTGGGCTGGGTTAAAAAAAAAACCCAACCAAAAACATACATTTCACATTTAGTAAAACTTACTCAGGTTTAAGCAGCTTAATAAGTACAGAAGTAAAATCCAGTTATATTTATTTCAAACCAAGATTTCCTGCAGTCATCTCAGAAACTACCACTCTTTGAGAATGTAAAATGCAGACTGTTAAACTGATCTGGGTGTTCCCATCTTGCTTCCTGCATTTTGGCTGACATCCTATTTTGCCATCACCATACTGCTTACTGAGTCACTTCTCTTCTTCCAACTGTAGCTTTCTATTTTTATCTAAGCAACAACAGTTTAACCTGCTTCTTTTGATTTTTTTGGCATTAAACCAAATTCTAAATCCAATGTTTGCATTTGGATCAGGAAAACTGGTTTTATTTTCTAACTGGACAAAGGAAAGGAATACTGAAGAACAAATGATATAAGCTGAATTGTTTCTTGCTCCACACGGAAATCACAAATTGTGAAGTCAGTCACTATGATTTCGTCATTTGTATTCCATAGATGAAAGCAATACCTGAAAATGTGAAGTTTAAGGCTCATTTCTAACCTAAGTTCAACAAAAGTTGCAAAAGAACTCTAAAATACAACTCTATTCTGACACAGGTAAAGAAGTGCTGAACTGTCAGTATAAAGCTGTAAGATTATCAGTGCTGCCATGTTTAGCATTTTATGTATAAGCAAGTTGAAGGAACAGAATATACACTTTTCTGCTGATCGCTAAACTTCCTAGTCTACAAAACAAGTTGCAAAAGATGTCAATTGTACTGACATGCTGTAACTGGACAGGTACAGAAAGCAAAGAGGACTTGTCTCAGCTAATGCCCTTACTTACGCACATATCAATTTATGTTTTCCTTTATATTATGGTTTCCTAGATTGTGATTTTATTAAATGTGACTATACAAAACCTCTCAAGTTATAATGAAACAAACAAGCCTATTAGCTTGTACTAAGACTAAGTAATTTCTGAGTTGTCCATTCATTCTTCTCTAGCTTTTCACATTTTTCCCTTGATTTAACTCATGCTCTGCCTAAATTAGCATATGTTAGAACAAACTGCATGACTCGACAAATCTAAACCTACCTGAACAAAAAAAAAACCCCATAACAAAACTAAACACTTTAAAAACCTGACAAAACAATAGGATTGATTTCTAATTCTGCAATTCAAAACTATTCTTTTTCAGGTATTTGTTAGTTCATAAAAGAAAACTATTAGGAGAAAACATCTCTTCAGTAAGTATGTAGGTGTGGCACTAAGTATAGAATAGACACTAAGCTGTAATTGGAAGGGAATAAAGGATGTATATGTAGTCTTCACTCTCACCATCAACACAGTGATTTACCACCCTCAAATATGCCGATATAAATTTTGCAGAATTGTACTGAAATCAAATTACTGAAATGCTCCTGTTTTAAATCCCACTCTAGTTCATAGGAGGAAGGGCAATGTGGAGATCAGACCTACGCTAGGTTCACAGTCACTGCCACCATAATGTGAAACCACGTCCAACATGCTTGGTTTGGGGAGCTGAAGGAGCTGTGTGTCACCCTAGAACAGAAAAGAGAGTGCACTTAAGCTTACAGAACATGTGAAAATATCTTCCTGAGGTGTTTTCTGGAAAGATTTCCCAAGATGAGAGTTCTAGATATAGTCAATCTTTTCCTTTTTTTACTGCTTCACAGCTTCCTTCACTGATGTTGATGATGACCGTTTCATCTTTCATCAGGGCTTCTCCAGCTAAGGGAACATTTTGGAGATAAGGATTATGATAGATGATGACCATCTTCACTGCTGTTACTCACTAATTCAAGAACCAACTTAGCCACAACTACATGGCTGAAGACATACAAGCTGAAGGCTTTCATCAATTTACTCAGCCTCATGATAGCTGTAAATCCCATCCTGCAGTGACTCCACAGCTGTTGCTTTCTTTTCAAAGGAGGCCCGACATGAATTAGCTATGAAAAAGCGTATGTATTTGGCTAAGCCTCATCTCCTTCTGAAGGCCTATCTTCCACACAACACTTGCAGCAATTGAGGTCTGGGAAGTCCAATTCCATTTGGAAGCCAAGACATCCCTCCCAGTAAAACAGGTTGACGGCAGCTCTACATTGAATTCCAGCTGTGATAGCATTTTTATAATGCATAAATAAAAATGTACGCCAGAAATTTTATTTGAGGCCTTAAACACAAAACAACTAATGACAACAAACATAAGTTTCCTTTCTAATTTAACAATCCAGCTTGACAAAGATTCAACTATTTGCAGACTTCCACAATATCTTATACAGAGATTGGCTTAAAGATGGAAAGCAGTAATTTGTTATAATAAATCACTCTCAGATGTTCCTGAAGAACACCACAGGACTGTTTAAAAAACACTACAGTAGGTATTTCAGTGCTTATGAGAGCTGTCAGAGAGAGAGCAGCCCTCTATTTAAAATGCGACATGTTTGCAACTTGTGCTGATCAGATGTTTGCTGAAGTGTTACTCAGTTTATTCCTCTGTAGCTTATCATCTTCACGATATACTCAAGTATCTTTGGGAACAGCATTCACAGTGATGTAGGGTTACACTTGCCAAAAAAACAATGGGTTTTGAAATTCCCCTACTAAGAGTTAATCTCTTTGGGGTATTTCATGCTTTATCTCATCACCTTAAGTATTTATCGCGCTTAGAAACTTTGACAATACACTTTAAAGTGTTCTTGTACTTATTTTCCTGTCAACACTGATAAAATGACACTTCTATGCTGAGGAGGAATGTAAAGTAGCCTTCAGCTCAGGCAGACTGAGTGAATGATTTGGAAAAGGCATTAAGGGTCTGAGAAAAACTGTAATGGGAGCATACAAAAATCCTGCTGGGGAAAGCCAGGTATGCTGTGTGAACATAGGTTCCACTGTGGTTTATGATCGCCATGCATAAACTGGTATTCTTCTTCCCTAAGATCACTGCAAGAAAAAGAACAGTTACATCATGTGCTATTTGCTTCAAACCCATAGTCAGACTTCTTGAATATAAACCAGAGTGATTTGAAAAGTGCAATGTGAAAGCACTGACTCATTTTTGGGTGGAATCGGCAGGGATGCTACAGCCACAGGAGTCAGGGAAACCTCCTGGAAAAAGTACCATGTTGATTTACGGGAATGCACATTATGGAAACCCTTCACTAAGTACTCAGCCTTAAACACAGAACCATTGTCCAAGCAGGTGAAGTTTTGTAAGTACAGAAGCACTCAGCCTTCCACAAAGCCTGAAAACCTTCAACAACCAGTAGCCAAACACTTTCATATTCACACTACAGCCAGGTGCCAACAAGCCCAATAAATGGGTTTTTTGATAGCCATGATCTTTAGACTCTGATGTCAGGACATTAACAAACTAATTTAAACTTGCACAAATCAGACATCCCTGGTAATTCCTCTCTCCTTTTTATATCTTGAAAAGGATCTTTTTTCAGTGTACAGAGATACCAGATGACTGTAAATACTAAGAAGCTTTTGTATGTTGAAAATCTCCCTATCCCTATCTGCAATTTCTCAGTCCTACTGTGGTAACAAAACCCCAAACCAACAGCAAGCCAGAGGAGGCTGTGGAATGGGGGTGGGCAAAAACTTAGAAGTTCTGGAAAACAAAACAGCTATGACCTAGTCTACTTTTTGGTGAAAGTAGTCTACTCTATTAAAAGACAATTAAAGAAATTAAAAAAGCAACTGAGTCCTCCCACGTGCACGATCAGTATGTCAGTTCTTCAGGGGCATCATCTCGCTGTGTCACGCCTTCAGAAGGTTTTGGTTTCATTACCAGCATTACATATTTGGTACAAGCGCAACATAGGTGCTATCAGCAACTCGCCAGCACAGTGATAAGCCCTGCACTCAGCCAAAAAGCACCCCCCTCCCTCAAAGGCACACAACACTCAATTTCAAATGTGTGGTCTTAGAGGAACCTGTAAGAATTATAATGATGTGAATGAAAGTCCTGAGAATGCCAGCACTGGTACCCAGGTCAGCCAATATCCCCGTTTCAGTTAAGCCAAGATCCATATAGGTGAAGGTTAACTTGCTTTATTTGTAAATCCCAGAGAAGCCTGCACGACTTCTGCAGTTTTTCAACAGGCTGAAAAGACTTCATGGGACAGGAATTAAAAATCTGCAACTGCCTGGGCCGTAATGAACTTCTGTTTCAATCCAAGCTATCACAATACCCATTTTACGTGTCTAGACGTATTTCACCCGTGCAACTGCTGAATAATTTGATGGATGCAATTTCATTCCTCTTTGTTTTCAAGCAATTTGAAGGATCGCCAAGATTTAACTGAGTGGCATTTATCTTGTTACAGTTCACATTCACTTTAAAATTTAAAAAACAAAACAATAATAGAACTTTAAAAATCGGACTAATGAAACCCTAGAGCACTCAGACCTTGTTATGTTTTCCCTCCACACATATACACATCTTGGAAAGTACCTTTGTAAAACCTGGGCCCACTTGAACACTGACATTTCAAACAACATACTTGTTTGCTTACAAAAGGTGCCTGCTTTCCCTCTCCGCTTCATTCAGCCATCCTGCTAGGGCTGCGCTGCAGCTTCGAAGGCTACCAGAAACATCCAGCACCTCATGGAACACAAGATGCAAGACACTCAGAGTGCCAGAATTACCACTACTAGAGCAAGAAGAATAGTGGTGTACTCATATCTGCTCAAAACAATTCTCCCTTCAAGGGAAAAAGTGAGTTCACGGATGACTGCACCGTTGCTGGCACAGAGCTAAGACAGGCATGGTGAGGGCCAGCAGGCACAGCACTGACCTCAAGTCACCCACCATCCCTGGCCTCCGCTCCAAGTTTACTGGTTGCACGTGTGTTTTGTAACACCCTGTACTGTGTATTCTTAGAACATACTTTCCAGAGAACCAAAGGGACGGGGCTCACCCCTCCATGACCACTTCCAGACCAATCTCACCAGCAGCAGCAGCATCCTGCTCCTCAAGATAAACTAGCAGTTTACAGAATAGTGAAGGATCCAACCTCTGCGTTTGCATGCTCTAAAATGAGGTGACCCGGGAGGCAAGATACAGAGCAATAAATTATTAGGGAAAACAAAACACTGCTCTAAAAATAGCACGCATGAGCAGCATATGAAAAACAACAGTTTTTATCCAGTCAAAGCTCAAGGAGCTCCACAGCCTCTTTTGTGTTTTGTGCAAAAACAACTGACATAAGCAAAGACAGATAAACAAATAAACCCCAACTTTAGCTCTTCCCTGATCACTTCCAAAAATATATTAAAACAAAATATACGGGGGGGGAGCTGAATTTGGGACCAACAGAAAAGGTATTAACGTCCAAAGTAAATATGCAATGAAACTTAAATCGGAAGATGTCAAAATGAGTGTCTTTTAGGAAAAAATTTTCCCAAGCTGCCTTCAGTTCAGAAATGCCAAAAAGTCACTATCTGCTACACATCAGCTACTAGCATAGTTCAGGCAACATTTAGGATTTGGCCACTTGTCAGGTTTTATAGATGTAATAAATTATTGTGAATACTCAAGTTGAGCATTGGGGGGGGGGGGGGGAACGACACCAAAAAAAAAAAACACCAAAACACAAACACACACACACACACACAAAAACAAACAAAAAAAAAAAAAAAACAACCCCAAACAAAACAAAACAAAAAAAAAAACAACACAAAACCAACCAGCCTCCCTACCCCAACCATTACAGAACCCAGGGGCCTGACAGCCACACTTGTTTTGTCAGCCCTCTCGGTTACCAAAAAGACTGTCCAGAGATTTTCTGTTAAAATCAATAGAACAAATTTCATTACTATCAAGTGACATCAACACAAAATTCTGTTGGAGAAAGAGGATCTTTTCCTAAGAGATTACAAAGACTAAGTATAGTCAAAAAGATTTCAAGTTTACATTTAGGAATACATAACTACATTGGCTATTACTATAAACAGCTGGTATTTGCAATCACTTATCTTCAAGAGCTAATAAAAAACATATCCGAGAGATATTTAGCACAGAACATTTTATTCTTACCATCTGAATTAGTGGCTGATCTTGAAAGAACCAGAATTTGGCATGGGAATCCAGACAACAAGCAACCCACCCTCTTTATCCCCAGAAGAGCACGCAAATTGGGTTCACTACAGCCTTAGTATTGGGTTGGATCCCTAGGAAACAGCATTTAGAGAATTGCTTTCAGCATGAGTTGGTTTTCCTCAACTGTGGAAAAACACTGTCTGGAATCCTACATTTTCCTCAGAGATTCTTCACAGTCTGTGCTGCGATAGAGCTGGACACAGGCCCTGCAGTGGGGACCTCTAGGCTGGGCACAGCCCACGTGAATGCCATCAGGGCTCCGGCAGGCAGATGGCAGCGCCTTATCTGCCTGTTGGGGAAGTGCCAGCAGTGCCCACAGGATTTCTCATGGAATTCATCACTGAAAATGAGTGTGAAAGAGACAAAGAAGAGACGATGCCTCACCAGCATCCAGCTTTGTTAGGAAGATACGTCTGGTCAGTGTCTAACAGCAAAACATATTTTCCTGTTCTTTTTTGCCTCTCAAAATACCATCTTTCATAACAAGCAAATAATTTACATACAAAACCCAAACCCCAACTTTCAGGATCTTCCACAGCCCACTACCATTCCTATTGTCCCACTCACTATTGCAATAAACTTCCAATTAGCCTCCAATTAATCACTTGTACTTCTTCCCCCGTGTTATCCTATAGTCAGGAAGAACACTTGATGCAACTGACTGTTTCCCAGCTTCTCCATTACATTGATAAAGGCTTGTTAGTCTGTACGCTGGGAGCACAGTTTATCTGTCTCATCAGTATTATCCCTTTGTTTCCTTACAGGCCTCTGTTGGAAGTCATCGATTTCATGTTTGATACTTGCATAAGGTCTGAGGTGAGGATGGCCTTTTGTTCCATGTTTGTATAATACCCAGCAAGGCACGATACCTGAGAATGTACCTCTTAATTTGTATCACAGATAACAGATTATAATCTCCAGGAAAGAACTCCAGGAATTTGCTTCCCTTTTCTTTAAAAGTAGTATTATGACTGAGTTAGACACCTGGAGGCTGAATAATTCCTTGATCCATCTAGACAATCAAACACAGCAATATGATACACTCTGGAAATACAGTTTGAGAATATAGTGGCTTGCTACAGATCTACATGAAGGACTTAATTCTGTAAAGAAGCCACGGTTATAGTCACAGGCATAGACGTCCCTAACAGAAACAGCAAGAGCTGAAGAAACTGTGTTCTAACAGCATTGATGAAACAGACTTACAATGGGTTGTTTGTGCTTTATGAGAAGCAACCTGCATTCAGAAACACACACAGGTCTTGTTCAAGGCTTTCCCAGGGGACCAGATCAAAACCTGCCCCAGAAGCACTTCCCCCCAGCAGTTTCAGTGCTATGAAGTTTACTCTGTACCAACACTTCTTTCACTTCCTAAAAAGACATACTGAGCCTTCTGTTTTGAATTTAACTATAGTAGGTACAAGAACTGTAGAGTAACTTTACTATAAAAATAAGCAAGATAGCACTCAGGGTCCTTCTAGCATCCTGCTCACAGCAGCCGAGGGCAAGCACCTTAGCAAGAAGAGCACAGACAAAGTAGGGCTGTGCTGGTCATTTCCCCAGAATACTCTCCCAGTCAAATGAACCAAAGGGGCAGAGAAGTTTGCCCTCTTCAGTGGCAAAGAGCTTCAACCCCTTCTGTGGCACCTGCTACAGACTTCCACTGTCCTACAGCAGCATTCCCCTGTTCCCACCAAGGAGGACAAACACCTGGCTGCAAGTGCAAGTCGGATGAAAGGCCACATCCACACCACAAGCTGCAGGATCTTCCTTGCTCCTGTGTACCATGCTCAGGCCAAATACATAGAGCTTCCTACCTCCTCCTTATTTTCCCCCTTGCCATGCTATTCAAGTTGCAGTAGGCAATTTTCACCCTAAGTTAAATGAAAAGGATCAAGAGAGATCTGCTCAGATTATAAACTTCTGTATTTAAACCAATGATTGAGCAGCCAGGCTTTTCAAGTATACAGTATTTCAAACATCTTTTATAAAAACCTTACAGGAACTAGAATACGCTAGGCCTCTCGGAATTCACATTCACATTGTCTTAGTTTACGTTTTCTCTCCTCCAGCTGGTCTGCTTTCTCTTTTAAAATTTAGTTTAAAGTCATAAAACCAACAAGTTATCTTCAGTTTCATAAACTTTACTAAAATGGGGGGGGGGGGGGAGAAGCGTTAGTTGCCATGGCAGCGGTGAGGAGTCACTGGGTCAGGATGCAGAGAACTTCTCTTGTTCTGTCTGATCATTTGCATCAGAAGTTCAGCCATCTGTTATTAACTATTTAACAACAGTCTTGCTTGTTAGCACTGGTGCTTGCTATTTAAGTTTGCAGAATCTATCTCCCCACCTTCAGCCCTTTTGTAAATATCCTAATTAATGTGGAAATTTATCTGAGGGCTCAGCTGTCTTTCAGGTAGGATGACCGCCATTACTTAAATTTGGTCAGTATTCTCCTTTCTCACCAAGGAAAAAACACACACTTATACAGACACCAACCTCTGGAAGCAACAGCTTTATTGTTAGAGACATCAATTTGAAAAGAATTTCAGGCAGTAGGTGATGTGGCTGAACTCCAAGACAGGCTACATGCCTCCCATTTAAACATATTCCACTGAGTGTTATATTCCTAAGTTCCAAAGTATCCCTTCATCTTCTACATCCCACCTTCTCAATACTGCAGAAGAAAACAGCTTTGTCATTTTATTTCAGAGTCTGAATAGCATAGACTCAATGTGTTACTAGCAAGGAAATACTACCTTTTATCCTCCAAGAGGATCTGAAATAGATTCATCTACTAGCTGTACACATTAAGAAAGCAAAAGCTTCATTCTCACATTTCCAAGCTTAAAATTTTGGAGTTAAAAATCATCACTATCTACATTCAGATCTCTATGACCTAAAGCAAAATGCTGACTCTGAATCAAGTCCCAGGAAAGCAGGCCAGCCTTGCTGTTTCTCACCCATCATGTTGTCAGAAGAAAGCAGAAGGCTACTCAATGACAAAAGGGGAACAACATGGTTGTTTCTTTTACTGTTCCTAAACTTACTTCACAAAAAAGATCAGTGCTATTAGGAGCAAGTAAGAGGCCTTCATCAGGAAGTCCTTGTTTCAGTCATTTAACAACTTAAATGTGGTATCACATAAGCTAAGACCACTCTGCTCACACATACAGCCAGTAAAGATCAGATCCTCTGAACTTTGAAAGTGGATGAAAAATTTGAAAAGCATTTATGTGGGAAGAGAGAGTTGCAGGACATCAGAAGACTAATTCACTCATCCAAATAACAAGACAGGATTTTCCATACTAGCCTTTCATTCAGATGACAAGACCACCAACAGCCTGGCAAACACACCAGCATTTTCAGTGCAGCAAGACTCGATGCACAGACAGCACTGGCTAAGATGCATTCTCAGATTCTATGAAGATGAGAGATTTGGTAGATACAACCACACATGTATAGGATAGATCTGATCCAATGCAATGGTTTAGAGACCAGTGTGCTACCGTATCGAAACAAGTACCCAGACCAATTCATTACTTCTGGTTCTGACAAGAACAATGCAACTGAACAGACTGAAGTGTCTTCTTTCAGCATGTTCAGAAAAATTCTCCATTACAGATACTCAGGTTCACATGTGAATTACACCCAGGGCAGCTTTCTGACTACCAAACCATGTCAACTCCAGAGACGTGGTTCAACTCCAAGAAGCAATGTGAACACTGGTGGCATACCTAAGTCCAAGATAAACAGTCACACTGGGGAAGAGTTTTCTTATTTTCCCAGAATAACTGAAAAACAAGGAAATGAGAAACAAACCAAACAATGCAAATGCATTGTTAATAACAGAGCTTTTAAAGAATATGCACGAGGAGAAGAGAGAAACACTCAAGAATTCAAGACTTTTATTTTAATGGACAGCATATCAAACATTAGATATATAGTATGCAGGTTAAGTGGGAGCTGATACTCTCATATCTTTATTACAACATCATGTCAGTTAGAAATTACACCTACAAGCTGAAAACTTCTGCAGTACTGCTGCTAGAACAGAACTAGCTATTAGGGTGTTTAAAAAAAGCACACAGTGTCCCCAGGTGAGGAATGTAGATTAAGAATCCCATTATTTTATCTGAAATAAAGAAAAAGACAAATCAAAAAACCCAGAGCAACCTATTTTCATGACATCTGACCCCTTCTACTGCATTTTCTTTCTGTATTCATCTTCTGCTTTACTACTTCATCTCTCAAAACTTTGATGTTACAACCTGCTCATTGTCATCTAACTGGTGGGTAATTTATCTTGTGGAACTTTGTCAGAACATGTTTGACCACCCAAAATCCTCCTCCTAGCTAGTGAGGCTACCTCCAGCTTTAGGTTTGTTTCCATACCTGCAGTCCAGATTATTTAGAAGGTGAGGTGGAGGGAAAGGAATAAGGCTAGCAGACCAAAGACTTCTTCATCAGAAAGGCAAAGAGCTCTGAAAGAACCAAGATGACATTAATGATGGCGGAGCAGCATGAAGCTCCTCAGGTAATTTTTCCAATGCTATTAACCTTCACCTACAAGGCCTGCCCTTAAGTGGTTAAACAGTAACCTGCAAAAGTAAAAAAGTTACAAAAGAGACAATATATGCTTCTCATTTAAAAAACTTCTGGGAGAACAGCCAAGAGCATAAAATTGTATTTAAACTTTATTCAGGAGGACAAATGAGGACATTACAACTCTCATGCTGTGTAAAAGCCTGCTCAATTTAAAATGGACACCAGAGCCTACTATGGAATTTTGTATGCATAAAACAAAAGAACATTTTGGATAATTTTAGAATTTAACTGTGTCATACAGCACAATTGAGCTATTTACAAGTTTCCACATTGTACGCCATGCTATTAAGCTTTAATAGTCCTTTGGTACTCAAAAGAATAAAATGTTACAGAGGGTCAAAATTGAAAGGCTTAACAGAATTCCAGCCAAGAATCTAGTTTGCCTTCCTCTCTGCTAATATATGGTAATTTTCTACATAGCAAAATGGCAGACATGAAATTAACACATTTAAAATTCAATTTATGCAATTATGAAATTTCACATTGTTCTCTCAAAAATTCCTCACTACTTTATAAAGCAATGCTTCATTGTGTCAAAACTAATATTCCCACACAAACCACAAGAGTACACTAGTGGAATTGTTGTTCCTCCCATATCGGGAGGTGAATGTCTAATAGCAGCCATGTCACTGAAGCTAGAGCTCTGGTACCTTTCGGAGGAAGAACAAGCTTCAAACCCAGGATGAAAATACGTGCAAGTACTTGGCTGGAACAACATTTGCATTTCTAGAGAACAGGTTGGCATAAGAAGAAATGGATAATCCTCAATTCAGCATTGAGCTCATATGCTATTTAATTAGCTTTAAACACAGCCTACAGTTAAGCAACCAGTAAGCTGCTAATTAAACTTACATATTTTTAGTTGCCCCCAAAGCTGATATACTTGCATCAGCTTTATTTGTCCCAAGACAAACAAGTAGTGGCAAAGGGCTGATAGTGCTTTCATGCATTGTTTCCAGCAGAAATCAAAATACTGTAATAGTTTCCTCCTACTGGAGGAAAAGGGAAAAAAGAGAGAGAGAAACTTGACCTACATAACAAGGCACAGAAGAAACTCAGTTAAGCTTCAGGGTGGTTTGGGGGGGGGGGGGGGGGGGCAGTTTTCTCCTGTGTAACAATGAAGAGTCAATCAGTTACATATGGCTACACTGACAACTGTTAGCAGATTTGACTTTAACTACATGTCTCAATTTTAAGGCTTAAAAATATCACCTCCCTGTTCCAGGCTACTTAATACTTTTGCCCTAACAATGTAATGAATTAACAGAATTAATTTTCAGGTTGCCCATTACTTTCCTTTAAAAGGAGCTGTTAAAAAGAGATCTCACAAGCCCCAGCCTTTCCTATGCTCAGTAATCGGAAAGAAAGGGAGAACATATGGTGAAACTGTTTGTTTTCCTAAAGGAACTACGTACAGCCCAAGCACAGCGCGCTCCCGCACTGTGCCGGAGGGGCAAACTTCAGCATAGACGGACTTTAGATCACCTCCCACAGCAAAACACCGACATACACCGCCGATCGCGCTCACGGGTCCACAGCCTGAGCTGATTTCAAGCCAGGGACGCCTGGGCACCCCCGCCCTCCCCCGCCGCCCGCGTCCCACTGCCCCTCGCCCCCGAACCGCCCGGTTCAACCCCTTGCTCCGCCACCGGATCCGAGGACACCCCAAGTGCAGGCGAGCGGGCGCCGTGGCCCGCCCCAGGCCAAGCGCGGGTGAGCGGGCGCGGCGGGCCCGGTTCCCCGCCGGTACACACCTTCTCCGCGCGGCCCGGCGCTCCCGCAGCGAGCCCCGCCGGCGCGCCGCGGGTGGGTGCCCACGGCATTTCCACAAAGGAGGCAGAGTAGGGCCGCGCATAGCAACAGGGCCCGCGCCCATTGGCCCCGTCGGGAGAGCGGCCGCCCCCGGGGCGGGGCGGGACGGCCGGGGTCCGCCCCACCGGCTGCACCGCCCCGCCGGCAGGTGAACGGGGGGACGGGACCGGGCACCTACCCACGGCAGCAGGAGCAGCCGACACGGGTGCTGAGGCGCTGCCGTCCACAAGGGCGGGCGCTACCGCCACGCGTGCCCTGCCGCGGAGCTGCTGACACCCGTGGGAGGGCAAGCACCGGCACCGTCCAGCTCCCCATCGAGAGCCGCCGAAAGCCCGGCCCCACGCATGCCCTACGCACCGAGTGCTCACACAGAGGGGCGCGTACGCGGGGCACGGACACCCGCGGCTGCTGCAGTGGAAAAGGCGAAAGCCCGTCCTGCCGCCAGCCTCAGGAGCCGCTTCCACAGCGCCTTTGGCACGGCTCAGCCCCATCCCTCTGGCCCCGCGGAAACCGTCACTGGCTCTCCCTGCATCACCGCAGCTCCTAACCCACCCGATGAGCTCCTTACTTCAGCGTTCTTTACAACTCCCTCCTCGATTTTTTCAGGGGCACTTTTGGGGACTAGTTTATGAAGTTTCAAGAGAATAGTCCCAAAACAGCATGTATTATTCGAGGCAAAGTCTAAGCAACATATTGTCTGCATTAATTTCATCCAGTTTCTCCCTATTTAAAAGAACTTAGATGACACGCACCATATTAACATGATCAGCACCAAAAAGAAAGTACTGACAGCCTAACCACATTACAAAACAGGACCACAACTCCTGTTCTGTAATTAGATGCCATAAAACTAAGTCCAGATCAAACTAGTCTTCACAACCACATTCAAAATCCAGTAGCACTCACTAACCCATTGAAGAGCATGGAGAACACGTTCACAGAACAATACCTTTTCCCCACTCACATTTTAGAGAGCAGTATCATTTAGCTGTGGTTGTGCAAAGCCGTGGCCTATACAAGTTCTTTAAGCAGACATTTTCTCTGAGGAAGGCTGGATACCCTTTAGTAGCTGGCACATTTAAAGACCGTAGATACAGATAGTGCCTTACAGAAAGTTATACACGAAACATTCCATTTCATTAGTAACTGACATTCAAGCTTCCTGTGTATTTTATCTCAGTTTGCTTTCCAAGTATTTTTCTTTCATGGAACATTTACTTCTACAAAAACACCAAAAGTTTACACAGTTGTCTGAAAAAGCAATTTCAAGTTTTTGCAGTCAATCAGCCACCCAGCCTTTGAAAAAAGTACTCAGATGATTTTCTATGGAACAGTTATTCAGCATCTACGGGAGGGGTAAGAGGAATAGTTAGCATGGTGGTAAACACACTATGTTTAAAAGTTTTGCTAACAAGAGGCAGAAGCAACAACCCCAAGTCAATTCCCACAGGGACCGGCACAGACAGCATTCAGGAGCCACCAGCTGTTTCCACAGGCCAACTGACGATGTTTTAGTGATGAGCAGCTGCCTCTGGATGACAGGCATATCCACCATAGTGCTCCTGAACAGTCTCCCCACACTGGGACACTAGGGTGCAACCACAAAGATCCTTTTCACATCTGACAGTCTTCAAGTACAGTAAAAGCAGGACAGCATGTTGACACCCCAGCTTTTAAGCTTGAAGTCCTAAGCCAGCTGTAGGTATGCAGAGCCGAGCTTCGTGCCTGCTTGTAGAACACCCCAGAAGTGAATGCATCTGGCCTAGCAGAATGCTAAAGTTAGAAACTATAATATTAGAAACTCCACAAATAAAAAAAAAACCAAAACACCTTGAAACATGCTATTCATTTGTCAGTCTGATCTCATACTCTTCCACAAACTCTCAGAGGCACAAGATACATATAACAGGACACTGGTAGCATGACTGAATAGGAGATGTACAGTATGTACAGCAACAGAGATATTCATAGGACTTTTTCCTCAGCTGCATATTCCATCATCATAAACAAGCTGCACTTAAAATACTACTATTACCCTTGCAGTTTTAACACTGCAGAAGGATGAGAAACAAGCAAGGCTGAATTTAACGGGCTATTGCACCCCACCTTCTACCACAAACAGGGTAACATTTATTAAAATAAAAAGAGATTATTTTTAAAAAAAATGGATTTTATCCCATAATAAGCAGTCCTACACATTTCACAAAGCAGGAAATCACAGCCAAGTGTGGTTCATCTTGGTATCAAGTCAGCTGTGCATCAATTCAGAGGCATTTGCCAACAGACATAATTGGCATTACCCCTGTTACAAAAAAAAGCCCAACTCCAGCCTTTGGAGGGCCATGCCAAAGCACAGCATGTCTAGTAATGAGCTAGTTCAGAAAAACACTCTAGTTCAGTTCCAGCCCTGTGTTGAGTGAGAAAAGCAAAGTGTGCACATGACCCCTAAGGAGCCAAGCGTGACTTCATAACACCTTATGTTTACACAGCCTAGCTGCAGAGACAAGGTAAAAACAAAAATCACACTCCTAGCAATGTATCCCTTGCTCAAAACAATCATTTTGGACTGAGGTATCAATGTGAAAAGTATAAAATGAGAAAACACTCATGCAGGCAGCCCTATTCCCTTCTCCCTCCTCAGATGCTTACTTCCTCAGAGCAAAGCTGAGGTCAGCTCTTGATGCTTGCCATGCATGTCAAAGAGCTCGTAAGACATACTATTCACAGTCTTAATAATTATATATAGTTTTCCTTTATGTTTAAACTCAGACTTCTTCAGTAAGAAAGACTACATATTGGCTACAGCACATCCAGAAAAGCAGCACCAGACGCTAACAGTTCCACTACCATTTTAAAACAAAACAAAATCAGTGTATATCATAAAGCTGTTCAAAATTTCATACAAGAAACTTGACTGAGGATGAGTACGGCCAGCTTATAGAAAGTGTCCTAAAACATTTAGGAAAGGCCATTACATAGTCTCAACATGAAGATGGGATGAAAAAACATACAATGCATATCAAGCATCGTCTCTTAACCTTTTTCTCTAGTGGATCCAAAATACTTTCTCATAGAAACTTGTTTGTTCAGTGAGACTATCAAAGTCAGTACAATAATAGCCAGTTATGCCAGTTTGAGTGAACTTAATCACTATGCAAGATGAGGCAGATGTTTACCCTACCAGTTCTACATTGATCTCCTGATTGTTGCCTTCAATTTTTTCTAGGTTTATGAACTATTCCTCCTGTTTCAGCTTCATAAACCAGCTACTCCGTTTTATTTGTTCACTTTTTAACAGCATGCACACCTCTAATAAAGGGTCTTCCACACCTTGCTTGCGTTAGCATGCTGTAAGCAGCTGCACTGTAAGTAGTGCTACTAGTGTGGTTACGGTAGCAGCCTTTACTCAGCCCACTCCTCCAATTCTAGTCCTTCAGATACTTTGTTTCTTGTTGCTTCTCCACAGTAAACAAAATTTCTCTGCCTGTTCAAATAGCAAGTGCTCCAAAAGGAAGAAGCTGTTTCCTCCTCAAAATAAAGCAAAACAAAGCCATATTTTTTATTAAAAGGCAACTGAAGTGGGAAACCTTGCATAGGAAGTATGCAAGAAGACTCATTTTTAAACAATTATACAGCAGAGAAAATAGGATTTACCTTTGAGTAGCATGAGTGTTGATATCAATTCCTTTGACTTAACAGTGCATTCTCAGGGCATACTGATTTTGACAACTTTGTCCCTGCTCAGTCCCTGCTAGTAGGAAACTCTTATTCCACATCACTAGAATATTTATTAAAGCTCTTCTTGATGCATCTGCGCTCTTCCCCCTTACTTCCAAGTCCAACTTCATCAAAATTAAAAGCCCAACTAAAAACTGTAACAAAAAAGAGTGAGTAAATGGGATGTCTTACTGGGACTACATTGCAAATAAATATTCAGATCAGTCATGCAAACAAACCATGCATTGATACTCGTGTCTTTACAAAAACTGCACAGGGAAAGAACATCAACCCAATGTATCAAAATTCACTTTCTGCTAACACAGAATTTATGCCCTCAGCAAGTAGGCATCAAAGGCATTTGTCAGATACTACTCTTAGCCACCCCTCCACCCCTCCAAGTCTGCAGACAAAGCCTTCTAGCAAACTTGCTGACCTGCCTGGAAGCGTGCGTTTGAGCCAAGGTTTGTTTCACTTAGGTTGCTGGGCTAGTGCCCTGGCAGGGAACCGAGGAGAACAATACCTGGCAAGCAGGGGAGAAGGGCTTCCCATCACTGCGGAAAAAGTGCTGACCACAGCAGCTCTTCCTTCACCTCTCCTTCCGCTGACCTTCAGAGGAAACCACCACCACCCTGCCACCTCCCACCATGGTAAAGACTAATACCATCCTCAGCTCTCTCTCTGCCCTTCCCTCCCCCATTACACCCAACAACAAGATGATACTTGTATGACACCTTGAGAAAGAAACTTAATTTATTCCAGCACAGGAAAGTGTGAAACATGCCCTAGAAATCCTCAAGGCTCAGTGGGAAAAAGGAATCCCCGCATACACAGCACCATAAAAGGCTAAACTAGCTTGAGCAGTCACCTGCTTCCAGTCTCACTAAAGTTCTCAAGCCAAAATGGACTGACTTACCAACCTGGATCTCTGGGATCCTAATGGAAAAAACCTCAGTAACTTCACAGGATACATAACGTAAAACAGATGACATGGCTCATGTGCACCACATATTTCTTATTTTAGATAAGTTCTTTTTTCATTTTACTTCAGAAAACAATTCAGCTTGTTTTTTTTTCCCTTGGAACAAAAAAAATTCATACTTGGCAATAGGTTTGGGAAATGCACTGATCACTGATAAGAGAGAAGTCTATGTGCCCAACACTATATACCTGGACAGAGAGTGGATGCCTTCCTACTAACTGAAAAGTGGTGAA